GTTCCGCGATGAAAACCAGCTTTAAGCAACGGCGTAGTCGAACGGTACACACTCGGTAAGTAATCCTACAATTTTTTGTTTATAGCATAGTTTATACAGATTATTCCCAAAAAATTATACGTATTTTGGAAATGTTGAGTGGAATTAGTCTAGAATCGGTTAATTTTATAGAAGAAAACCTTTCAAACAGCCTTAGTCTGTAAAGTTCCCACCTATCAGGCTGCGATTGGCTCATGTATTTAATCGTTCCTACAACGTACTTTTCGGTTAGCGTGGAACGTATCTAAGCGTTATAGAGGGATCTACTGTAATATAAAAGAGACCGGGGCAAGTTCGGCATACGGGGCAAGTTTGTCAAGCGCTTTTTTTTAAAAATAAATTAAAAGGAAACTTTGGTTATAGGTTAGGCAGTTGAGTTTTATTGGTGGCTTGTTGAGTGTAGTGTTTTTATTGTTCTCCAACAAGCGTAGTTGAATTATCAAGCAAATTTNAAGTGAATTAGTTGCTAAGAGGTGGATAGATATGAAGTTATCAGTTTTAATTATAATATTAGCCTTATCCTTAAACCTATGAAAGTTAGCCTATTTTCATATAATTACCCACGCCCTCTTCAAGGCCCTAATATTTCTTTGCGCAGGATTTGCCATCCACAAATCTAAATTCTTGTTATATGTAAATTTATTAAATCTATTTTTCTACCATCCCGTTTGCTTGCCCCTTGTTTGTAACCCTTGACCAATCCGTTAATTGTAGACGTTTTGTATCCTAAACTTTTCGCAACCTTCTTGATTCTGTTAATCTCGTTAAGTCGATCCTGTATGTTGGTGCGATATGAGAATGCTCTTTTTATAATCGCCTTAAACGATGACATCTTGTATCTGAACGGATCATTAGACCATGCCGGAATATATAGAGGAGCATGTGTGGGTTTTAAATACACCGCCGTTTGTACATATCCTTGCTTAAACTTTATGTCAATGTCCAAAAAATGGATCTGCGCATGGCTTTTCTGTTCCAGTTTTAGTTTTAACCCATGATTACTGCTATTTATCATAATTAAAAATTCTTCAATTCTTCGTTCATCCTTCCAAATTATTAGCACGTTATCTACATATCTTTTGTATAATATAATGTCCTCCATGAATTTTCCTATGACCTCATTTTCGAGTTGACGCACCACCAATTCGCACAAGAGTCCCGACATGGGTCTACCCTTTGGGACGCCTTTCCTTTGTTTCTACACTATCCCATTGAACGCAAAAAAGGATTGGTAAAACATTAAATCCGCTAGCTTATTTAAGTCCTCCATATACGCAGATAACCCTGGATTATGTTGTACTATAAACTCAATAAGAGCATTGAAACACGATGTTAGATTCATGGAAGGGTACATGCTTTATTTTAGATGGAAGATGGTATTCAGAAAAAAGTAAAGGCACCAAGTAAAATGTAAAGAAGGGTTAAATATAAAGTATACAAAAGAGTGGCTAACAAAAAATCAGTTGGTGTTAACGAGTGTGTACCATTCGACTACGCCGTTGCTTAAAGCTGGTTTTCGTCGCGGAACAGCACATGAAACGGCGGCCGCGATTTCTAATAACGAATTTTTCGCATAAAAATAACTTGACCTTTGGAGACATCATTAATATAAATAATTTTTATGGCCGTTGAATAAGAAGTGTTTCATTCACACGAAAAGTATAAAATTGGTGCTGTATTAGACTAATGGTACCTAATTTACATACTGTACAGACGATAATAAACTCAACTTACTAGCCTAAAATCTCCGTAGCGTGTTGCCAGGTGGCAGAAAGCATATATATAATTATAATAAAGTTACAATAAATTAAGTTAATATATAATTATATATACAGTACCTAATTTATATATAATTAATATATAATTATATGTACAGTACCTAATTTATATATAATTTATATATAATACTGTACAGACGATAGCAAACTCAATTTAGCCGCTCTGTAGCGTGGCGCAGGGACAAAGGAAAGTAGTTCCGCTGCTCATCCACTATTGGTCCAGATTCTATCAATTTTGTCGCGAAACGACGTCATAGGCGGTACTTTATACGAATGTTGCTACAATTTTTTCGCTACGTTATAGGAATTGTCGTTATAGGAATGCACGTTATAGGGGGTCGACTGTATATTAATATTGTAATGAGTGTTGCCGCAATAAAATTTCAAAACGTACTGAAGCGCCTTAAAAAAATGTAATATTTTCCTTCAAAATGTACTAGTTCTATGCATAGTTTGTTTACGTGCCTATATCTAAATATATAAAATTGCTTGTCCTGACTGACTCACTCATTCATTCACTGATTCATCATCGCCCAGAGCAAACCGCTTAACCTAAAGAGGTGAAATTTGGTACACAGTTAGGGTACGTCATGGAAACGCACACTAAGAAAGGATTTTTCGAAATTCCAACGCGGGGGGGTGAGGG